GCACTCTCCTTGCCTTCATACCCAATTCTAAACTCTCAGATAGTTATACTGATTTTGAGATCTCTGTTAAAACAGGTTTCCAGAAGGAGAATTATAGATTGCCTTCAGTGAATCAGCCTGCCAGGTTGAAAGAAAATCAACTCATGATTCCTCAGCTGTGCTTTCTTACTAAGAATATCGATTTTCAAATCCTTGGAACATTCTCAGTAGTAACTTGAAGACTAAAAAAGAGCTTTGACCTCAGCCTGTTTCATCTTTCCTCAGATTTTACGTGACAACCACAAACACTTTTCTCTAAACCTTATCATATTTTCTCATTGCGGACAACTGCCAATTTCCCCTTTGGTCACCTAGCCTTGAAAGTCACTAAAATATTTAGGTGGAAAGTGTCTCATCCTAAACCTCTGTTGTTATTCAGCAGAAAAAAAAATAATGACATCTTGAAATTTGCAGGCAAATGGATGGAGCTAGAAAACATCATATTAATTGAGGTAACCCTGACTCAGAAAGACAGTATCATATTACTCACTCATAAGTGGCTTTTAGACATGAAGCAAGGAAAGCCAGCCTACAATTCAAGATCTCCTGAGCAAATTGGGAGCATGAGGACCATGGGAGAGGGTTGAAGGGAAGGGGGAAGGAAGAGAGGGAAGCAGAGAAAAATGTATAACTCAATAAAATCAATTAAAAAAAAAACCTCTGTGTTATCATGTAGCACAATCAATTGGTCACATCCTCCTCCTCCTGTCAGTAAACAACACCATCACCAACACTTTGTAATAGTATTATTTGGCAAATGAAATTTAATATATTTTATATTCAAGATATTTTGGAAAATTGAGCAAAACTTTTGTTTTAAATGTTAAATTATTTTGCCAAATCCATTGAAGATAATACTTTCTCTTTATCTAAAATTTGTTTTAATTCATATAGCATTGCTCTGAGCCCAGGAGACCATTCCTTAAAGTGCATGTGGTCCTTGTGCATTTAGGTTTGGGCAGGATGAAGATATAATTAGATACTTGGTCATATTTGGAGTCTTTTCAATTCTAATGACTTTTAATCATTTTGATATCAATGATTTTTTTGATTAAACTCATACATTATACCAGAGCATGTCTCTTATTAGCTACCTTAGGGTTTTTTCCCATAGCAATTTAGGTTATATAAATATAGTTTTAAAAAAATAAGCAGTGTTGGGCATTGGGAATATTTAGCAAGTAAAAGGCCGTGTCTTGTAATTCAAGTATCTGTCAGCCTGGTCCTTGCCTGAAAGAAGAGAAATAGTGTATCATGAACTCTGTGCACATTGTTCTGATGACCTCAGCTTCTGTTACCCCACACTGTAAGGCATGCACATTAAAAGCACACACATTTTGGCAGTTATTCTTAATGTTAATTTTAAAGAAACGAAGATGACTGAGAGCAGACCTTAATTTGGCCAACTCCATGATTTCCTCCTAAGGATGTCTGTCTCAGAAGATATTTTCTAGGGTGGGTAAGCGTGCTGTGGTTTTAAAGAGAAAGCCTTCTGGTTTCTTAGCCAGCTAGGCCTCTGTTTGCACGATGTGATGCTCGGGGAGAGGAAGTAACCGCTGTGGAGGGTGTTCCTCTGAGTACTCAGTTTACAGGGGACATGGCCTGTTCAGTTCTCTGCACTAATCCTAAAAATAAAGACAGATGGAGTTCTGTAGTGGATTCAGCTGGTTCTTTTCTGTCCAAAGAATATACCCATTTAGGGAATATCTGTTAGTATAGTTTTTAGTTCTGGTCTCAGATCATTAACATTACTTACAACTATGCAATGTCAGGATGCTCAAACACTAAGATAAAGGACTGCCACCTTTCTAAGTATTTGGTATATGTTCATAGGTTGAGTTGCTTCTTACCTGATAAATTCAGTTTGAGGTTTTGTACATTTTTCTACTTATAGAAAAAAAATATACATAAACAAGTCATGTAGCCTGCTGGAAACTTCAAAATGTCCCTGCTTTGCTGTTGGAAAGCCAATTATAGTTATTGCTCTTTTCCTGATACTAACTTAAGGAAGTCAGTAATGTCTTTTTGTAGAATCCCTCCTATCTCCTTGTAGGCTCCTCTGCAGTGGCTCCGTCACCTCTCTCTCCATCAGGGCAAGGTACTCATGTCTTGGATTCCATGTGCTATTTTCCTGAAATGTCTTTGCCTGAGGTTACGTAGGCAGTGTTCTTGTCTCCTCTGTCGATCTAGACAGTGACCCATTGTCTCCCACCTCTCATCAACAATCTACTCCACAAACCTGCCATCCTTTGAAGGTGTCTTTATTCGTGTCATCATTTGAAACAAGAGCTTGCTGTTTATTGCGCGTCACATTTTCTTTTTTAACTCATTTTTCCTACTCGGCTTCTAGTAAACTTTTCTCAGCCACCCCTGCCCCCATTCCTTCCATAGCAGCTCGCTCCTCAACCTCTTGCTTCACAGCCACGCTAAAGAAACTTCTCTTTTGAGGTACGCACAAGTTTTTAATAAAACCAAACAAAGCAAAATTAAAAGAATAAAAATAAACATCACATCTAAACTGACTCTTTGCCTCCATTATGATCCCTGTTGGACCATTGGTTAATGGTCCCTATTGTGTCCCCAGACCTGACGTCTGAGCCTTGCTTGGCTAGAGCATCTTAGTCAAGAAGCACAGGTGTGTATCATTTTCATAGCTGGCTCCTCTTCCCCACCATCTCAGCCACCTAAGTAGAACGTGGAAGCTTGGCGCATTCCTCTGGTCCTTAGTGCTCTCCTCGCCGCCTCAACTCTGACCAACATTAGTGCCCACATCAAACCCAATACACGTTAACCACACACTTTCTTGTTTTATCTCCAACAACCTTTTCAATTTGATTCAGTGAAATCCAGCGTGATGCACACTCACTCACTGGACCCTGCTGTCTGACACTTTTCTCCGTCAGGTGCTCGCTAGATTCTGCTTTCTGTTCCTCATCCCCATAGCTGAGACTCCGTTCACCACACAAACGTGACTTTTCTATTGGTTTCTCACTTCTTCAGCTTTCTTAGCACTTTAACAGCCAGTTAAACAAAACAGTGATTTTTGTCTTCTTTTCTTCCCTTCAGTCTCCCTTCACCCATGTTTGTTCCTTATTCCACTGACTTCTCTTTTTGCTTGGTGTGCTCACTAAGCATTAAGGGCCATCTTGGTGCTTATGAAAGAGAATAACGGGGGACTCAGGAAGACAACCATTAATGTCCCCCAAAAAAGCAACAACCTAGTGAATGATTTATGTCTGAATGCCCCAAACCCTGCTTCCCCTTCCTAGTCCCTGTGTGCTGAGGACACTGATGGGGTCCTAACACTCTCCCTCGAGGCAAATGTCAGCAATTAAGATCATGCCTTTTAGGTGACAGGAAGAGCTTAAGCAGGTCCGTGTGAAGTGCTGATATTAATGCAATACCTTGTGGACTCTTGGTGTGTGTGGAGGAGTGGGAGTCTAGAATGTGAGCAGTGAGCATATGTTTATACCATATGTGTGTGTGTGTGTGTATGTGTGTGTGTATATACGTATATATATATGTGTATATATGTATACACACACACAGTGTTCTAGGACATTGCATGTGCGTATGTCTTGGTTATTCTCGCAGTCACTTACAGACACTATTCAGTTCTTCAGAAGAAGACTCTGAGACTAGGAAGTAGGTTTGTTACACAGGATTAAGAGTTGTTTACTGTCACGACTAGGATACATTCCAAGCTCTCTCAGCCCTAAGCATGGTACACTATGGGGCTGTAGCTGTCCTGAGTTTTTACTAGTATGTGGACCTTTGATCTTTCACAATCCCTGTCTGGACCTCTTTAGGTCTATTTGGACCCTTTGGAACATTAAGAATTAGCAGAGGGATACAGAACAAGAAGTCAACAGGAAATGCAAATGCGAATTATTTCTAGCACCGTGTAATTGAATTGTAGCCTGAACTGGAGAGTGAACATGGCATTTGTCCACCAGTTTCCGAAGCACGGTGTTTGTTCTGTATGCAGGGAACAAACAGAATCCTATGGGCAATGCTACTGGTCCTCACTTCTGAAGGGTTTGGCTGTTGCCAATGATAAACATATCCCCTAGTAGGAGTTCTTTGGGATAAGAGGTGAGGAGGAAGGGGAGACCTTCACATGGACGGTGCTGTACTAAGAGTAACAAAGGGGAGATATAGTGAAAGGTCCAGCTGAGAAGTAAATAACTTTACTCAGAAAATGGAAAACAGAAGATGTCAAGGAGAAATTAACATTGAAAAATTTCAACCAGTCCTAACCTGAGTTAGGCTGTTATATTTGGCTAAGGGTAAATTCAGCTCAATGCTAGACTTACGTTCATTACTCAGTGACTCAGTAATTTATTTTCTCACAAGGGAAGATTTCACGTTTGGATTTGCTGTGATCATTTGAGGAGTCTGGGGTCTAAAATGCAATAGCAATAGTGAGCATCTCAGACTATGTGTTTCTAGCGACTTAGCGTATACATGGTGATTCTTATGCTTTCCTTTATTGTCATCTGGAAATAAATATTAATATATCTTACACAGTCATATTGAAGTAAGTGTAGTACCCTTCTCTGAAGGTAGTTGAAGGTCCTAGTAATTTTTTTCCCTAAATATAAAACACACTCTGTTGCTGTACATCTGAGACCAAGCTCACTAAGGAAATAGTATCATCATTCTATGCCATGTTAAAATTTAGACAATGAAATATCTTTCAATAGCCAGAACTTACTCTGCAGGGTACGCCCACATCAAATGCTTCAGGCCAGCTGGTACTTTATTATTTTTTTTTACTTTAGCATGTTCCAAACTGGAAAAACAGGGGTGTTGCCGGTGGAGGTTGAGGTGAGTTGCAGAGCTGGCAGATGCCGCCCCCCGCAAACAGGCATGGAGAGGCCGTGACTAGTGTGTTTCAGGAGTAGGACATGTACCCCCAGCCCTGCGAACTGGCTTCAGAGTCATTTGCTGTCTTTCAGGATGAGTCTTCAAGTCATGAATGTAACCAGCGCACAATCCTTCTCTACGGAGTCGGGAAAGAGCGTGACGAAGCCAGGCATCAGCTGAAGAAGATTACCAAAGATATCCTGCGAATCCTAAACAAGAAGAGCACCGCGGAATCAGGGGGTAAGGAGCCCCAGTGCCCTGGCTCCTGCCGCCTTTGCTTGTGTTCCCTGTTCTCGCAGGCTTTATCAGAGTGGCCCACGTCACTGTCACCAGTGTTTCCTCTCTTGAATGACTGTCACACTGAAATATGAATAGGCACATTTGCATCTTAAGGTCTTGTGTTCATTGCTAGCGACCTTCGTGTGAAGCAGCTACCACCTCCTGTAGGTAGACAGGGCAAGTTCCATGTGTGTTTTCTGTAGTCGTCACTGTGGATGACGTGCTGAATAATGAGATGGAACGCTCTGCCTGCAAACAGTCAATTTACTACTTCTTTGCGTCATTTTTACAAGCTTGTGGTTGGATGTTTCCCTGTCCTCTCGTGTTTCACGTTAGATGCAAATCATGGTCCAGTTAATGATTTCGTGTTACTCGGCAAGAGAGTGGCGGTAGTAGTCATGGCTAAGTCTGTCACCAAATAACTCCAGGTGACAGAGGCATGAGATCTTCAGTAGTAGTGCCTTTTTGACTTGGAGTTTTCCCTCCCTGCTCTTTTCACAGGCTTTTCATTTCCTGACCTTTGCCCCCGTATTGTGTCACCGCCTTGCATAATTGGAGTCATTCAATTATCTACTTCATATTTGCCCAGTGACTCTTTGAGAGGTTTACATCGTTTTACGGTCACAGTTTAGAACATGGCACCACATTATACCTTAGCGCCACCGCTGATCTTTCCCTCTCTGACACATCAGTCCTATAAAGGAGGAAAAGGGTTGCATTTCCCCTGGGTGGAGAGCTCACTTTCCTAGTGGAGGTTTTCCTTCTTGAGACGAAACCTCTGGAAACCCTTTCTATTTTTGAGATTTTAACAGGATAAAACTACTAGGGCCTGCTTATGTATGCTAGACTCTTCCTAAAAGTTGAGATGCTTGAAATAGATTTTTTTTTTTCTGCCATCAGCACGGGTGCACTTGCCTGAGCACAGCAGGCCTATCTGTCTGTGCCTGTTTTCTGGAGCCCCAGTGTCCGAGGGACAGAGTCTGAGGCTATGCGAACACAGGGGTCCTCATGTGTGAGCTCCATCCCATGCCCTGCCTCCCTTCCCGTGCCAGTTCAGGGCCCACAAACACACCAGCATTATGAGAAATGACCAAAAGCCGAGAAAGGGAAATGAAATTGTGTTTTGTTGGCTTCTCATGAGCTTGGACAAGAGACTGTTCTGTCTAAGAAAACCATTTATCAGTTGTGCTGTGTTCTCCCTCTCAGAGAAAAGAGGAAATGAATTGCGCCAGAAGATTGAATTTAGAAGCCTTGCGGCGAGCTAGCACAGAACCTTCCGAGCAGCTTTTTGTATAGAATGGGGTAGGAGGTGCTGATGCCCGCAGGAGACACAGTCATACTTAACTTATCCAGTTAGCGTAGAGGGCCTTTGCAGATCTCTGAAATTTCTGGATAAATAAAGACCAAAGGAGGTTGGAAGGGGGAAGGAAACCGTGTGGTGTCTTTTCTGCTGAGCCTACTTCCTTCCTTCATAGAAGTGTTTTAATGCCAGACCATTGTCTGTTCTGTCTTTGTACCAAACCCTTAAGTAGACAGTACTTGCATATGGACTAAAAAAAAAAAAAAGACATTTCCTGTTCAGCATTTCAAAGTATCAGTCACTTCAAAGTGGCATCTCCAGAGGTTATTTTTTCCTTCTATTATAATTATATTAATTTCAGATATAGTGCCCTGCCATCCAATAAGCAGTCTTCATTTTATGTTATTAGTTAAGACTTTGTTTATACACCATTAGTTAGCCAGCTGTACTTGGGGCTAATGGAAATTTGTACTCACACACACACACACACACACACACACACACACACACACAGAGAGAGAGAGAGAGAGAGAGAGAGAGAGAGAGAGAGAGA